GCTTAGGGTTCATGGGTTTAGGGTTAAGGGGTGAAGGCTCTTAGGGTTCAGGGTTTAGGGGACGCATAGGGCTAGGTAAGGGATTCGGTTAAGAATCATACGTACAGTCAACACCTCCGTCCAGGCACCTGTAGCCTATCAAAAAAGGGGGTGGAGGGTGTAGGGGCTTACGGATGTAGTAGGGTTTGGGACCGATTTGGACAACAGGAGGCATGTTTAGGGTTTAGGGTTCAGGGTTTATTCAGGGAGAGTGGGTGAGGGTTAAGGGCTCGCACGGCTCAAGGTGCGAAGGTAAAGAGGTCCGGGGGTGTAGGTCAAAACGTACGTCAATTCGACGACCCTTTATCAGACTTGGATGGGGATGGCCATCATGTGGGGGGCCCTCTTTGCGGCACATCTCGGTATGAACTCAAAACTTCAATGGCAAAACATGTGGACATGCGGATGATGAAACTAAAGGCGCAAGAGTTGCGTAAGAAGCGTAGGGCTCCAACTGATAATGTCCTCACTGCAATACCATCACATCAGAGGAATTTGTGTTATTGGTGGCAAATGTTGTAAGCCCTGAAGCCCAAACAAACACGGAACAATATGGTAGCTTCCATTTTCTTACAACGCGCTGTATATTCCCATATGGTAGTGTCCAGGGGGACCCAGGTATAGACTCCCAAATACTGTGCTCCGTAATCCTTGTTACAAAGCACTCCAAAGAGGTACCCCTAGTTTTGGGAAACCCCTGTATATAGTCCTCCGCAAGTAGATAGAATCTGGGGTATATGGGGATCTTATTAATGTTGGACCTCCTTTATTGAAAGGGTCCCCTATAATGAGTTTTGTGGCCTGCCTATTCAGAATGAGATTGCAAGGGCTCCCATAATGTGTTTTGATTTCGGCGCCCTAAAAGAAATCCTGTAAAATGAATCCACAGGGACCTCAGAACCGTGGGAGCCCTAATTTCCATTTTTCGGAGGGCCCTAATGTTAGGGGGGCGGACTTATTCAAGAGGGGTCCCACATTATAATATACCAAAAATATACCTAAACCCTACGTTAAAGAGGGTCCCACATTCTAGTATACCTAAACTCCATATGCTATCTACTTAAGGGGGACAATAAGCCTTCAGGGGAGCTTTATGACAAAAAGGGGAACCTGCGGCCCGAAGCTAAGACCCAGGGTTTAGGGCTTATTACTTATTACCATTACTTAGGGTTTTGGGGGCGGATTTTTGAGCTTAAGATTTTGAAATTCTGAAGTTAAAAAACTTTGGGAACCCTGAGAAATGGTAAGTTTATGTGGGCTTGAGGGTCTCGGGTTTAGGGTTCAGCCTGAAGTATGCAGCCTCAGATTCTGAATGCGCGTGACACATGCAGAGGTTCTGCCCACAGCCCGAAGCCACCGTCGGGAAATACAGCTCCTAAGCACCATGGTTTCAGGCTTAGGATTAGGGTTTAGGGTTTAGGGATCAAGGTTTTTTTTAAGGCTTAGGGTAATATACCCAAGGGCTCGTATGTAGTCCTTTTGTAGGTAAGGGGCCAAAACTCTAAACCCCAAACCCACACCAAACAGGAACTACATGGCAGTTTCTGGGCAGAGTTTGGGGTTCAAGGCTTCCGGCTCTCAGCTTGGGATTTCTGACTTGAGATTTTTCAATCCTAAACCCCAAACCCCTGGTATTTAGGGTTTAGGGTTTAGGGTTTTAGGCCTTGGAAGGTCCTGCCCATTGATCTCCACAAACTGATCCACGTCCACCTTGATCGAAAAGGACAATGGTCGGGGTCTCGGGCTTAGGGGAGTGTTAAGAGCAATGACACTCTCAGGAGTAATGCTACTTGTCATCGTATCATCAAACCCCTTTTCACCCCATCCACCCTGCATGCAGCGCTTCCCTCGATCTGCTGCAGGTCTTTCTTGGAATATCGTATATGCCATGAGGGGCTGGTGTCTGACCATAGCCGACGGAAAGGACTGCAACACACGAAAGTCAAATTTCACCCTCAGGTCCAGATGGGGCCTCCTTTCACCACAACAGGCCAATGAGAGCACTGGAAAGGGCTCCTCTACTGTACTTAGTGTTTGGGCTTGTTGTGCTTCTTTGTTAGAGGGTTTATTACAATATACCACGACGAGGAACTGCGTAGGCGGTGCTGTGTACAGGCTAGCTGAAATACTCTGGAATTATGAAATCCCAACTTTAAACCCTGTCACTACCCAGACCCTTGTATGTGCTAGTATACTGAAACCCATTACCAAAACACTCTAACACACCCAACAAGAAACTACATCGGAGCCCTTGGGCACCACAAATAAATTCCACTGAACAGCGCCTGCTTCATGGAAAGCCCTGGCCTTTCCACAGATTGTGGATTTGAACGTCTGGTACAGGTATTCGCAGTAGTACCTATCAGTTGGGACCTTGGCATGGACACGCAGATAGGGATGAAACTGTTTTTAGTACGGAATACTTGGAGGGTCGGAGGGACTTCGTAAATTGATTCATGAGGGTGATAACAAGGTTTGCCATATGGGCTATAGAGGTTATTAACCTACTTACTAAGCCCCCCTGAACCTTCAACGAGGCTATATGAGCGTGATCAATCTTTGTTGGCCCCATGGCTGGAAGGAGGAAACTGAGAAATATGATGAAGAATATCAACACTTGATGCAGGCTTCTAAATTAAGCCTCTATAGCCTAAAGATCCCAAATCCACATATCATTCAGAATTATTTGGGGCGGCCTCTTCCTAGCAGCTGCCGTGAGAGGCCTAAGTATTAGTTGGATGGCCGTTGTGAGACCAGAAAATCGAAGGATAATAGAAATAGGATTGACATCGAGGTACCCCTATGCGGTTTAGGGTTTAGGGTGTTATAGGGTCCCTAGGTATGTTTGAAAACGGGCGTTTCTTTCCAAATTACATCCAGGTTGTTCGCAAAGAAATTGCCTTCCAAATGGGCCCAGAAGCGTCATCCAACTTCCAGGGGCTGTTGCCTCATCTGAATTGTAAGGTTTCTTTTTTGTGGCACGCTCTTTTCGCCCAGCATACAGTCAGACGAAGGCCAATTGTAAGGTTTATGGTTTGAGGATTTTAGGGTCAGCCGGGTTTGGGGTTTCTCTGCATGCAGAGGTCTACCTTATAATCACCCCTCTAATTCCAGGAAGGGAGGGCAGGGGCTTCGAATGACGTTTTTGGAGCAAACAACCACCTAGAACCTAAACCCCACATCCTAGGCAGCGTTCCACAAAGAATAATCGCAGAGCGGGCGGCAGCCCTGGAGATTGTAAAACGCTAAGATGTAGGGCCGGGAGTAAAACAGCTCGCGGTACCTGCAAACCCCCCGAACCTAGGGTTTCAGGAGTTCGGGTTTAGGCAGGATTTGGGGATTAGGGCCTGACTAGGGGGACCCCT